AGTGGTGTGGTTCTCTTCAAAAGGAAGAAGGAGGCAAGGCTTGGAGGCTACTGGACTTTTTGTTCTTGGAGTTTTTGCAGCAGATGGGTGCTTGGCAGGTGGCTGGTGTTAACGGTCTAGTGTGTAACTTCTCTGTTGGTTGGTTTGCTGGTGGTTCCCGGTTTTCGTTCAGCTGGTGTGTTGCTGTGAGAGTGTTTCATGTGGTTTCTCAGAGGTGGTTTTGAGATGATGGGGGTTGGGTTCTCTGCTCTTGGGTTTTAATTTAAAAAAAAAAAAAAAAAACTGCATATTTTAAACCCCAATAAAATGAACAGATGGCAAGCGGCTCCTTCAGTCCTTCACTGTGCCATGTATTTTGTTTCTTACAATTTTTTTTTTTTTAAACTGTCTCATCCCTGTTTCTCTTTCTTTACTCTTCTTTTTGTTGGGTCCCTCATTCTCTCTCATTCTCTCTCTCTCTATATATATATTTGTGTATTTTGTTTCTTACCAATTTTTTTTTTTTTTTTTTTAAAATTGTCTCATCCCTCTTTCTCTTTCTTTACTCTTCTTTTGTTGGGTTCCTCACTCTCGCTCTGTCAAACTCAAAGCTCCATCATTATTAAATCTTCTTCACACAGCACAACGTAGCTCCCAAAACCAAACCAAACCCTCTTCTTCTGTTTTCTCTTTTTCTTTTTCTGTTAACATGGCTGAGTCAGAGTCCTTGAACGATGCCATCTTTTGGTTACCTACTAAGTTTGAAGATATACTGAAAACTGCATTTTTTTATTGGCTTGCGAGCCGACTCGAATTCGGCCTGTTAATCCGGCTCACGAGCCAGGCTCGAACTCGGCTTCAACCTTCAACGAGTCGAGTCGAGTCAATAATTTTTTGACTCGGCTCGGCTTGACTCGAACTCGTTTTCCTTTTTCTTTTCATGAGCCGAGCTTGTTAAGCCAAAAACTCAGCTCGGCTCAGCTCGTAAACAGCCCTAGGTATACGCCTTGGTACAGCTTCTTTCATGGCCGCTTTCATTTTAATGTTTTTTCTATAACTCATAAGTATGTTTGTTCTTCCATCCTGCCTGGTATTAGAGATGTGTTCTCCACTTTTAAAAGTAATTATCACTAGATTTTTGGTATGACAAATGGCTAAATAATCCTATAGTTAAGATGATTGGACTTTTTAGTGGATCAGATCTCCACCTTCGGGTGGCCCCTTTTATTTAAGATAAGAATAAATTGGTCTGCAAGCTCTCCTTTGGTTGTGCCACCCCTGCCCCAACTGTCATGGAACCAATTGTTGGTGCCACTTCCTCGACCACTGCTCCATTGCCATCACTGGGTCTAGTTGTGGATTCATCATCACCAACTGCCTCAATTCAGCTGAGGTTAATAGATGGTACTTGCATGGCTTCCCGCCTTCAACTACAACCATACAATCAGAGATATTCATGTTTTCGATAGCCTTGATTTTCCGTCAATCACCACTTCTTCTCGCCGTTTCCTTCGCCGACGACTGCAGCTTTTGCTCCAATCTGCAAAGCAATCCAATTCAATAAATCAAATCCCGTTCACCATTGCTGGTAAGATCCGCATTCTTATATTTTATTTCAATTCTTGTTATTTTGTGTGGCTAAGAAGAATTTTAAATAAATATTAAATTATTATGTTTTGGTTGGATAAATCTCTTGTGGATTATTGCTTGTTGCGTTGGTTGGGAGATTGTTGCCCATTTGATGTGAAATTTGATTGGAGAAGTTGTTGTTTTGGAGTTTTGATTTGGAAGTGTTGACTTGGATTTTATGATTGACTTTTCTGGTTTTGGAATTCGCCCATTTACACCTTGCCCACCACTTGCTTGGTAAATTACCTAGGCGACTCTCACCATCATACACAGATCCCATTACCAGCAAAATGCTGTCCAAGCACAACCTACAGCCAAGCCACAAACATCCCACGCCTCATTCACCCCTATTGCCTTCCCAATTATGCCCAACCAAAACCACAACTACCTACACTGTTCAACTGTTACACACAACAATACCTTTTGCCTAACACATGCATCCCATGCATTTTCTCCATTCGGCACCACTTTAACACATTTGGCATGCACATCGTTTTTACCTTGTACGCTTTACTTAAAACTTCATTTTGCTTAGCTTTTGCTAATCACATAGTAGAAGCATTCACCCCATATGTCCTTTTCTTTCTCCATTTGACTTATTATACATTTGGTTTATTACACATGCATATCATGCATATTGACTCTCCATTCGGCTCTTTGCTTAAAACATGCATGCCATGCATGTCACTTCTCCCGCTTCAATCAATTTACATCGACTCGGTCGCGAGGCCCAAATTACATCGACAGTCAGTCACATCGATAGGGCCTCGGTACTCAGCGTCTACAAATCTTTCAACTAAAGTGATTTACATCGACTCGGACGCAAGACCCGAATTACATCGACAGCCGGTCACATCGACAAGGCCTCGGTACTTAGTATCTACAAATCCTTCAACTACAAGTGATTTGCATCGACTTTGACGCGAGGCCCGAATTACATCGATAGTCGGTCACACCAACAGCGCCTCGGTACTTAGCATCTACAATATTTTCAACTATAATTGGTTTACATCGACTTGGCCACAAGGCTTAACTCCTCGAATTTCAACTACAAGTCGGTCACGCCGACTCGACCACAATGCTTAATACATTGATTTTCAACTGCAAAGTCGGTCATGTCGACTCGACTATAAGGCCCGACTTTTCGAATTTCAACTACAAGTCGGTCACCCCGACTCGGTCATGAGGCTTGATGCCTTGAGTTCAACTACAAGTTGGTCATGCCAACTCGATCATATGATCTAAACACCTAGGTTTTCTATTACAAGTCGATAACTTCTCCTAACCTAGGTTAGATGAGTGAGTCTTTATATTTCTTGCAACCCCGGTTGGTCGAGCATTCATCTCACAACTCAGGTTGGTTGAGCAAACTTCTCCCAACTTAGGGTGGTCGAGCAAAATCCTCCCAACTCGGGTTGGTCGAGCGAACTTTCTTCAAACAATGGTCCATCTGAGCTAACGAGCTGCTAGCACTGATCCGCTCAGTCCGCACTCATTCGATTAAATCTACTCTTTAAGCTAAATACCCTTTAACTTAGAGAGTGGGGGGCTAACTGTATGGGCAAAAAATCGTCTTGGGCCTGACAAGGTTTAATAACGAAATAAACATGTCATGACCTAAAGCCTTAGCCCAATTCCAATTGGGCCTACGCTTAAAGTCACTTTGAAAACTGTCAACTCTATGAGTTGGGCTATCCTACAAGTTAAGCTGAACTGAGTTCTAGCCCATTAGCCTACAACCGTCCATAAATAGGAAATCAGAATCATATTCTATTTCCTCTTCTGTTGAGATTCTGAATCTTACTCAAACTAGTAAACTTAATCTGATAAAGGTAAGAAACCTTATTTCTTTGATTATCTCCCAAAACAGGGCTCAGTGTTCTACTAGGATTCCAACCCCTTGGGTTCACTATAAAAACAGAGGTCCGCCTTCTCATTATTCAATCAATCTCCAATAATCAATCTCGACTACTCAAAATCACCTCCTTACTCCTAAATTCTTGCTCCCAAGAATTCTACGCCTCCACCGTAGTCCTGGCCTCCGACAAGACTCTTGGTAATCATTCTTCTCCTTAATTCATATTAAATAATCTCTTTTAGCCTTGCTGACTTGAGCGTCGAAGTGCCTACGACAAACACCATCTCGGTGTTTTCCATAAGCTTCACGCTTGTCTCTTCGTGTGCGCAGGTCTAAAGGATTGTCAGTGGCCTCAACCTCATAGGATCAGACCCTATTTCCATAGCCGTAGATTTTTTTGCATCTACAATATAAAATGCTATGCTTAAACACATAGATATTAGAATACAAAAAACTTTGTAATCAGATAATCCAGACATTGTTATTATTTTCCTTTCTTACAATATTAATAATACAAGAAAAATCAATACTAAAGTCTGTTTCTCAAATTTCAATGTAGTGTATAAAATATAATTCATCTTTCCACTAAAGTTTCATCATTGAAACCATATACAGAAATTAATGAAAAATGACATTAATTATCACATTTTACCATTAAGTTTTATAAAAAAAAAAAAAAAATTAAAACTAATGTTACCTATATTGAATTTAAATAGACTAGGAGATAAAAAAAAATGAGACTTTGTTTTATGTTAAGCAATAATAGAAACTAGAAAATATATTAGAGCAATAAAGTTAAAATTAAAAAAAAAAGAAAAATAATCAAAATATTATATCTTATTTATTATACTTTTTAACACTTAATTATTAAAATATATTTGGTTAAAAAGTGAAATTGGTCAAACAGGTCAAATGTTTTTAAGGATTAAACCCAAACACAATCTGTTGTAAAACGGGTCTTAACGGGTTGACCCGTTAATGCCCAAAACCATTAAAATCAAAGTCAAAACCTGCTTTTAACGAATGGGTTCACATCATGTTATCGGTTCATGTCCAATTCTGTCGACCCTATTTGAAGGGGCAAATATTTGAAACTCCATATTTTCTCATTATCAAAAGACTAATTGCCTTTATAAGATTCCTATCAAGAAAAGAAAGTGTTTTCATTAAACTTTAACCTCTTTATATAGAACCAAAGGTTGTCGGGTGATTCACGTTTGACTCACATCACATGGAAGCAACAAAATTGAGAATCCACTGCAACATAAGGTTTCTATCTTCCTTTCGTTTGACGAGAGCCCTTATTTTGCAGAAATAATGTTTTGTAAGATAGATCTTTGCAAACCATTGCTAATTTAACCAGAACCAGGACAAAGAACTAGGACAATTTAAAGATTTCGGTAACTCCTTTTCTCTCACCTTGCGGAGCACTTAAAACAAATTCATATAAATAAAAAAATTTATCGTGGTGAAATCAACTAATAATTTACCCCAATATCTTTTTTTATTATAATTCATTCAAGCATACGAAAAAGAAGAAAAAAACATTAATTATTTATACCTACAAACATATATACAGCATATGCTAAATCGAAATTAGCATATATTATTTTAGTAGTCTAATGAACATCTGAGAACGAAATCACAAATCTGTATTGGTTATGGAAATCTAGGATTTAGGTGAGCCTGCAAGGGAATTTTCATGACCGTTAAGATCTCTTGCTTTTCTTCCAGGTTAATTTCATCTCCTTCCACAGCCTTCCATTCATAGTGCCAAATAAAATTTGCCACAAAATATTCTAAATGAAGGATTGCCAAACCAAGCCCTGGACAAATTCTCCTCCCAACTCCAAATGGCATCATCTTTATCTCCCTGCTCCCTGTTATGTCAAACACTTGTGCTTTGTCTAGGAACCTTTCAGGCCTAAACGACATCGGATCATCCCATCCTTTTGGGTCCAATCCCATATCTGTCACCATGAAATTTATTGAAGCATTCTTTGGAATCAAATAACCATTTAGAACTATGTCCTCTGTAACAGCATGCGGCACAACAAAGCCTAGAGGAGGATGACGCCGTAATGTTTCCAAAATCACAGCTTTCAGGTATGGCATCTTTGTTAGGTCTTCCTCTTTAACCTCTCTCTCTTCATCTCCAACAATCCCTTTAATCTCTGTAAATAACTTTTGTTGAATATGTGGATACTTAACCAAATTTGCCATCACCCATTGCAACGCTGTGGATGTTGTAATAGTTCCAGCACTAATAAACTCCGAGCACAAAGTTGTTATTTCCTTTTCATTAAGCTTTCTCTTCTCCTCTGGGAGTTGAAGATCAAACAACGTATCAACATAAGCTTGGACATATTCATTATCGTTGACTTCCATAACACGAAGTTTAGAGTTTCTTACTCTCTCTTCTTTGAACTTCCTTCTCTCTTCAATCAACGGCATGAATACTTCACATTGTCGTTGATGCATTCGCAAGAACTCTTTGTATTTCTGACAGAACACTATCTTTGTAATTCTAGGCCATAAATCGAGTATACTAAATCGTCTAAAACTCATTAGCATGCGAAACTGATGATCCTCAACTTCTTTAATCTTTTTCTGATCAAGCTTGTCCCCGAAACACATCAAGACTAATAAGGAAAGATTAGCAGATCGGAAAGGGTCCATAAGGCGGAAGGCGTCCCCGGATTTTGAGTGATAGTTGAAACAATCAAGGAGGGTTAGCAAGACCCGCTTGCGTGCATTTGCGAAAGATTTAACACGTAAAGGATGGAGTATTTCTGCCATGAGATTACGGCGCAAGAGTCGCCATGTCGGGCCATAAGCAGCGGAGTTGATGCTATGCTGATTACAACTTGAAATTCTTCTAATGATAGAGGCAGCGGGGCGATCAGCAAAAACTGCGCCAGTTTGGATCAAGGCCTGGTGAGCTAGAGATGGGTCAGAAATGAATATTGAGGGACTATTACAGTTGATATGGAGGGTGAGGATGGGACCATATTTAGGTTGAAGCCTGGTTCGGATGAAATGCTGAAGCTCTAATGAAGATTTGCGATGCAAAAGATAGCTGCCTATGATGGGAAAAGTAAAGGGGCCTGGAGGAAGTCTGGGGATGTTATTGGGATAGAGAAGGTTAAAGAAAGCTTTGATGAGAGCTGCGATGCAGAGGGAGATGATAATGATGAACCAAGTTTCCATTTTCTTACAGGAAAAAAATTAATAACAAATTAGTAAGGGATGCTTTAGACGGCAATTAAGGAAGTATATATAAGATCACATAGTATGTCAACAATGCAGAAAATTAAAATAAATTTTATTGTCTTTTAAATATGAGGAAGGCTCTTGATTGAAAAAGACGGTGTTTGAATTCGATGTTGATGGATTGTATTTATCTTATTGTCTTCTTATCGACGACGGGTCTAACTTGAAGAATGAATTGTCTAACCTAAATATCTTTATTCGTATTCATTGGATCCTTCTTACAATACTTTTCTTTTAGTATTTTTATATTTGTTCAAATAGTATGTCATGACTGCATAAAAATGAGTTTCAACATGTTGATTTTCTATTCAATAAATATTAGTTCCCAACCAAATCTCACAAACTCTCTTACACAATCATTAACCAAATCTCACAAACTCTCATGCACAACCGTTACGAGATAGTTTCTAGTTTTCTGCTATAAATTTTGAATTTTGAGAAATTTATCAGCAAAACACTGAAAACTGTCACCTAGATGTTGTACGAGATAGTTATTTAGATTGGATTATAAGTATTGTATTACCTTTTTCTAATTTTTTTTTTAAAATCTTATTGTCTTTTCAATATGAGGAAAGGCTTGGGATTGAATAGTATTATTGTGTGTGAATTGGATGTTGATGGATTGTATTTTATTTTCAAGAATTAATTGTCTAACCTAAAAATCATTATTTATATTCATTGGATCCTTCTTACAAATAATTTCTTTTAACGTCTTTATATTTGATCGATCGAGGAAACTAAAATTCAATTGTTTTTTTGGTCATCTTGTTGGGAAAGTCTTAGCTAGGAAATACTTTACTAATTGTGTTCATTATTTAATAACATGTGCAATTTCTTGCTGGGCAAGAATTTTCTCTACACTAAAATCAATATTAATGAATATTCATTGCACCCTTCTTACAAATACTATTCTATCTAGTGTCTATCTTTGTCATTTGAGGATACCGAAAGTCAAATTAGAAGTTGCGTAATACACATTTATTATATAAAAGACTTTTTTCCACGTAATGGCTTAATGGCATTGTCTCACTCACAACCTTTTAAAATACTATTTTATTATCTAAATTTATATTCTATTTACTATCCAAACCAATCGTCGACTGATTTTGGTATTGTTATGACCCAAAACCACCATTATTCTCTTCCTCAATCATTACACATCAAAACCTTTCAAACCATACTCTAGCTAATTCAGTCAATCGCCAACAATCGAACGATTAGAGTTTGTGTAGTCACATCTCTTAAGTTAAATTCTGACCAATCACAATTATCAAAATCTACCATACCATCACTAAAAGACTTACCAACCTCCTATCTTAAAAAACCCTAATAGTCTGGATTAAGTTTACTCTTCATTCACTGTTGAATGTTTTGGGTAGTAAACAAAGCATAAATTTAGGAAATAAAATAGTATTTTAAAAATATATTGGTGAGAAAATTTTATTAATCCATTATTTGGGTGGGAGAAGTCGTTAACACACACACTCTCTCTCTCTCTCTCTCTCTCTCTCTCTCTCTCCTTCTATGTATAATAGATAGTGCGGGTCTATATATATATATGGTTGGGAAAAGTCTTCTGTAAACAACACCACGTAACCTCCACATTTTTTTAATGATTAAGACACCTTACTAATCTTAAAAATACATATAAACATCTTTTAATGGTTTTAGGTCGGGATGGGATTTAGCCACCCCGTTTAAGCTAATAATAAAATTCCTTAAGATATTTGAAATAAAAAAGATACCTTTGACGTTAGATAACTAAGTAATATTACGTGTAAACAAATATCCTAAATTTACATCTCACATATGTCACGTATACTCAGTCAGTCAAGAGGGATCACCAGTGACATGTTTGTTTATTTATTTTGTTCTTATAGACATTCCTAGATGGTACATGATCTGGATATTGCGTATCATCTTCTATTTACGATATAAGCATTGCTTATAATCATTAAATATCCTATCTCTTCTATGTCTTTCCGAATAATTACGGTGCGTTTGACTTCATCTTTCTGCCCATATTCCAAATCCTATTCCCAAATAATGTTTGGCACATTATTCCAGAAATATTATCTATTTTTTTAATTATTTTCAGACCCCATAAATATGTAATTTCATACTACCCCCTGAAAAAGTTTTAATACATATTACAAAAAATCACCCCATGATCCATATTTGTCAGAGTTCCGACAAACCCTATCGTGTAGCCAAATCTGCCACAACGATGAATTACCGACCGAAACTGGCACGGTAATTACCGATCTGGCTGTCATGTACGCCAAAGCAAATGGCCGTTTGTTGACGGTCAACGACAGCTAAGATGGCCTTCTTTGGCGTTTCCCTCGGCCGTCCACGGTCCACATTGGCCGTATGATCTGGCCGTAAAAAGCCCTCGAGCCATACCAGCCTTATGTGTGGGTTAGTCAATTTTTCGGTCATCTTCCGGCGGTGGGGGCCTTGAATCTGGCATGGTAGGTGTTGGGGGTCTTTTTGTCATTTTACATATTTTTATATACTTGGGGTATTATTACATTACAAACTTAGTTATATTTTTTTTATAATTTTTAAATTTACCTCTCGTACTCCGTATATTCGAATTTGTCATACTATCCTCAAAATTCCTATCCAAAATGATACAACTAAAGCACCCACACATTTTTTTTTCGAAGAAGCAAACAAGTTAATGATCGCGCACAAACCTTGCCCCACTAAGCAAATGATAAGAACTTAACAAGTCAAGCACCGCTCTTGTTTATATGATTGAACAACTTTCCCTCAAGGAGAACAAAAATTTATAAATTTACAAATACGACTTTTTTTAGCTTGAACAATCAAACACCATATTAAAGCTGGATATTAGTTTTTGTTATTTTCTTATAGGCCAAGGACAATGCAAGTGACCATCCGAATTATAGAGGATTAAACTGGAGGAAGAATATGTTTCAGATGATGTTTTTTGACTGATTCCCTTCAAATCCTTGCTATATAAGTTCGAAACCATGACAAAAAGCAAGCAAAAACTTCCCTTGCTAGAAGGGAAATAACTAAGTTTCTATTCGCTTTTCAGTTTCTCCTTAATTTGACACTCTGAAAAATATTTATGAAAAGATTTTTGCAAAGCTCTATGGATTCACAGTCCCGTCAGCTTCCTATATTGTTCTTCCATATTTGGCCCAGGCCACATGATTCCAACACTAACATGCGCAGTTATTTGCCCGGCATGGTGTGAAGGTCACATCTACACTCTCGCAAAATGACTGGCGGGAAAGAGAAAAAGGAGGCAAGAGATATGAATACAGTACGAACCCATCAAATTTCCTACAGGTAGAGGCGGGCTTCCAGAATCATGTTGAGAACGCAAATTCCATCAATTCTCCTGACATGGAAAATGAATTGCTTTAAGGAACAAACTTCTAGAAGAAGCCACCCCAATTGCATCGTGTTAGTCAGGACATATTTAACATGGGCTTCAGATTCCTGCAGCTATAGTTTGGGATTCCCAGCTGTGTTTCCATGGAATTGTTTTTTTCCTCTCTGTGTGTACTACACTTAAGGCAGCATCACCTTATAAATCATTAACATCTGACTTTGAACCCTTCACAGTACCCAGGTCTCCAGACCAAATAACGTTGACGGATCCACAACTAACAAGTTATGTAAATTGGAAGTAGAAACGCAAAAGAATTATTACGACTGGTGGAACAAGCTATCCAGCCGGAGATTACAATCTATGGGATTGTGGTGAACAGTTTTCTATGAGCTGGAACCAGCTACTATACCTCTACAGGAAAGTTATGGGAAGGAAGGCATGGCATATGGCCCTGTTTCCACTTTTGCACCCCAGACATCAATGACAAGCACAACGAAGGAGAAATAGCTTCTGTTAGTTGAACATGAAGTTTAGAGATGGCTTGAATTCCACAAGCACCCAAATCAGTTTTCTTATGTATGCTTTGTGAAGCATGGCGCGATTTTTCAGACACTCACTAATTGAAATTGGCTATGGGGCTTCAAAGCTTCTGGACTAACACTTCATTTCGGTTTGAAGAGAGGTGCATAAAGTAGTGAAGAAAATAATGATGGGAGTCCTTGAAGAATTTGGAGAAGAGAATCTGGAGGGGAAAAGGTCTGATAATAAGGGGATGGCAATCCCCATATGGTGATTCTTGATCATGAAGCCGTTGGAGGTTCATTACTCATAATGTGATGGAACTCAACTCGGAGTGTTGCTGCTGGGTTGCCACATGGTCACATGGCCTGTCCCGCCACGAACCTTTTCAATGAAGCTAAAAAGACAATATGAAGAGGGACGATTAAAGAAGGCAGTGACCTGTAATGGTTGGTGAAAGCAGAAGAAAATGAGAAACCGAGCCAGGCACTGAAGAGATGGCAAAGACTGCTACTGAAGAAAGAGATCACCAAACCCGAACTGAAATCTTTATTATAAGATTTAAGGTTAAATTTCCCGTAGAATGAAACAAGCAATTTGAACCTTGTTATCGAAATTGTCATTTACGTATACAATTAAGTCTTCATAAAGTGGAATTAGAATTATATTATCTTTGTTTTGGGTTCTGAAAGTCATATACCATTTTAGTGTTCTTGTGACTGTTAATGTCAATATGTTTTTTTGTTATAAACTCATATGATTTGTGATTATTGTTTTGATAATAAACATTTTAAAATTTGACTAGTGATTTAGTGAATAAGAAGTAACATATACTATTCAGGCCTTTTACATTTTTGCACTCTGTATTTTCCATCTACTGTAGATGAAACAAAACTTTCATATTGTTAAATGTGAGAGTAAATATAATTTAAACATTTCATTTCGATTTAAAATAACAATCAATTTGTAAGTAACAAACTACAAGACCATGCCAGGTTTAACAGAGCAGTAAAAGCCTTGCCCTCCAAGAAAAATAATAAGAATTATTTCAAGTGAGAGTAAAAATAAATAAATAAATAAATAAAGTAAAACAATA